GTTGTAGCATAAAACAAACAGAATGTCTTAAAAATAGCATAATACACACAAAAACCCATTTTGCATACTAATTATCAGTATTCTGCATGATATAAGCTCACTCACACACACGCATTTATATGGTATGCTTATCGCTAACCCATTCAATCAATGCACTTCAGTAGTTCGACACAATAATATGAGTTGTAAGTTGCCGATGGGACAACTCGACTTATCAATTCAAGGGAGGTGGTAGTGACTTTTAACTAATGATTTTATGGACGACAATCGAGTGAGCAAAAAATGACTAAAAGTATCTACAAAAAGAGAACGACTTTAAAATATTTTCGAAATGACAGAATATATATTGAAACAGTTTTACAAATAGTTGGAGTGCGAACTATAAATGAAAAACCAACGAATGTTACCTGTCTTAATTTGTAATTACACAAACGAAGTCTACTAATAAACACAGGAATATTACAAAGATAATAAGTCTTTGGAAGGGGAAGTAAGAAAACTAACGTATAAAAGTATACAGTATGCTATTACATATATATAAGAATGCCGGAATTATGGTCTTAGAGATGATGAAAAAGAGTCTTTTCATGTACAGAACGAATTAGAAGCTACTTATCAAGGTGAAACAGTTTAATTTCTGTAAAAATTTATCCGAATCCAACAAAACTGGTTTAAGATACAATGAATTGGTCAAATTGTTCTTATATGATTAAATTAATAGGCAGATTTATATTAAGTACTAATTAATTCAACTAAAACATTTGCTGATTGCTGCAATATTATGCGAAAATCAAAACCATTCATGTCTGTCGAATACTAAGCTTCCACTCACATTCATATGAATACTAAATTACAGTTTAGGTGGGTCCGCCATAAGCAACATAGAACCTGGAACGTTTGTGGATCAGTTAAATTTGCTACGCCATATGAGCATAATAAGATGAAATCGTCAATACAAATCCCAGAGTAGTAGGAGATGTAACAATATCAATGGTAGTAAAAAAACTTGAGAACAGTAAACAAAGATTCAATGAGAAAGAAAAGGTATGTAGAACAAAAAGTGTAAGTTAATTTTAGAACCCAAGGCCTAAGGGGAAATAATGAATGAATGTATCTGCGTCATTATTTCTGAGCTGACAAAAGTCAACTAATTTTTAGTCAGACACAAACCCTCCAGGGCTGATGGGACTTCCATAATGAGTGAAAAATTCAGTTCATTCAACTGACTCACTCCCTATTATTAGTCCCAACACTGAAAAGGATCAGTTCAGAAGCAACATTTACATTTGAACGGGGGCGCGACCCAAGCATGCTTGCATTATTGTTCAAAGCGATCAGAAGATTCTACATTCTGTAAGCTTTTTCACCAAAACCGAACAACGTCACCAGATTATTCTAAGTCAGTAAGTGAAACTTCTGGAATGAGTTCAACCCATGAAAAGGTAAGTGAAAGAAGAGTGGTTTTTAGGAAGATAATGAAATTAAATAAAAAGACAGAGAGTGAGCAATCTTGACAAATACAACTTGAAGATGATAATTTAGATGACAGTTCACCATAAGTTCTGATTTGACCAATAGTGTTAGATTAGAGGAGCTTCACAATTTTCGAATAGTGTTTTGGTACACAGCTACTGCCATACAACATGTTGAAAAACTAAGACGAATGTTGCCTCAAGGTTGAGAAATACTATTATGGTTGGACGTCAGTAGGTATGTCTGAGTTCCGAAAACTGACAAAGGGTGAATATTTCGACAGTACATGCACTTTTGCGTCTGAAGCCGTCCTAATTTTCTAAGGTTTGTTGTTTAAGAGTCCTAGTTGTGCATCAGGTGATTATTAGTGTTAGTACTTTGGACACTGTATCAGTCAAACTCTTTTTGGTTATCACAAGAGCGTTTCCGTTCTTTTTCGTAAACTGAGATGACTAAGCATCAAAAGTAATATGCGCCACATGTAAATTTGGATACGAACCGGGCGTTCAAACCAAAGATAGTTTGCTTAGGTGGCAACTAGCCAGCCTTTGACCTAAATTTCTAATCCACTAAGTGGTGCATGAACGTTAATAAACGGTGTCCCATGGCAGCTGACGACCATAAATAGGTTCATATCCCACTTATCCTCTCGAAATCCTAGAGTCTATGCATATCATTATTTTGGAATCAAAGATGTATAATTTTCCTAGGTGGGGTTCTCGTACCCACCAAACCAATCCAAGCACTGAACGTTGGCTTTTCGTTCTCTCAATTTCGTAAACAACATGCCACTGAATGAAGGCAAAGAGTATAATTTTTTGGTAGAGGCTATGAACCCATGGCCATATGAGAGCATTTCAAGAGGAAAAGCAGACTCTCCACTCTCGGAAGTATCAGGGCATAAAAAGAACAGTGAGCAAAACAACTCAGAGAGTCAGGTAAAACCTGCTCCTTATCATGCGTATCAAGTGATAAAGAATTAAAAATCAAATCCATGTCCAGTGAGAAAATAAGATCTGAACAAATAAACACCCATAAACTAACAAATAGTTCTATTTACACAGAAAACAGGAAAATCATTCATCAACAAGTCATAAAGACTGTTTAACACAGGGGAAACTACCGTGCAACATTTACATCTAAAGTTGGACAATTAATCACGTATACCACAAGATCAAACCAAAATATTTTTAGAAACTTTGTCATAACGTCAAAATTATAACCCAGCTTTTGCACCAGTTAGTGTTTTTTTTTGTCTTCTTAAAAATGATTATTTTGATGGGACACTGGTAGTATATAATGCTGGCGAAATATCAGTAATAAGAAAATTAATTCATTAGTGAAAACATTAAAACAATTTCGTATGTATGGAGTGGGGTTGTTATAGCCCAAAGCCGCCAATCAGAAGCAGCGAATTATCGATCGGACCAAGGACGCGTAAAACAAGCGCGAGCAGCCTAGAGTCCTGATTGGTCCTGCCTTCCGCCTAGCTCAGCCAGTTAAGTCCAGAACACCAGTCTCAGCCTCTACAATATGAATCCTTATATTCCAAACATACTGAGTTTATATACCAATCAAACAGACCACAACGTAGCATAAAATAGAAAATAACATTTGTACAAACTTTGGCCAAATGTGGCTCTGAATGTGGGAGGCAGTGTCTAATAGACAGGGCATACTTCAAGAATTGTAAAACGTATAATAATGGTTCATAGGTCAAAATAAAGTTTATAATAAGAGGATTATGAATATGAATAGTCTAGTTATTTAACAATTATACGATAAAAATATACGTTTGGTATTGGTCCATAAAAGTATCCTGAAGTTACCATTCATTATGTTTATCGGGACCTAACAGGGGTCAGTCAGTCAGTTACAACGTAGAACCAGGCACATATATTCATCGGTCCAAGTTGCCATACATCATTAGCACAACAAGATGAACACCAAATTTATAAAGTAGTTACTTCAATGGTAGTCATATATATAAGAGGTTGCATATAAGTATATAGTCTTTAAACATTCATTCATCATGCTCTCTAAAGCGTTCAAACCAAAGTGTAATATCAACGTATAATATTTTAAATCAGTTGTCTAAAAAGTATGAGAGTTGAAAGATAATTTATTTGTTGTTCATGAGATATCAGGAACCAGTAGTAAAAGAATTCATGCCAAGACATTTAAATTCGATAAGCACAACATAAATGGATTAATTTTTAACTTTGTTATTATCATATTACGAAAAGGCTTTCTTATATTACTTTTAATTTGCTATACCTCATTTAGTTGTATGCTAAAGCTCGAAAGTAAATACTACTGAACCAAATTTCCAGTTCTTGCCATTATTATTAAACGAAAAGCAGATAAAACTATTGTAACACGTTATCACACGTATATCGATTCTTATATATACCAGATTATGATTATTATATAATGAAAACATGAATTTCATACAATATGAACATGAAATGTAACAACAACAATATTACAGAGTGAAAAAAATGTAGGTGCGTATAAATGATCAGAAAGAGTGAAATAATCACAATTGAAGAGAAAAAACAATTAAGAAACTTATTACGTCTCAGTTATATATATTTATTCAAGTAGTATAGGAAGAAACACTCAGAGATGATTTCAATTATGAACCACATTTAATGTTTGTACACTAGAGAATATTGTCGTCTCTAATTCGGTCTAGTTTTAAATAAAATTCAACATACGGAATGACGTTTAATGTTTAACTTTGTACAGGTGATATCAAGAGAGGAGAACAGGGTAAACAGTGACAACTGTTAAATTGTATACACTAAATACATTTTTTTAACTGATCAATTAACTATGCACAGCAATATTACTTACATGCTATGCTGAATGTTGAGTTATCTTTATTGATGGAAACAAATAAAAACCCAGTATATACTTTAAAAATAGTTATCAGTTTCTAACTTTTGAATTAGTAAGAACTTTTAGAATTAAAATAATTGCTCACGATATGTAAAAATAAAATAAAAATTATTTAATCAAGGCCTCAACATCCGAAGAATCATATTTTCCTTCAATAATGGTCTATAATAACAACTTATAAACGGGAGTTCTCGATATCCAAATATTATTTATACATAAAAGGATGTCATAAGATATAAAATTGACCTATAGGCTATAAAACAGAAGCATCTTCAGTAAGGCGTGAACATTCAATCAAAAACGAATTGTCCACTCTTTTCGAGAATCCGTAAGTCAAATAAGACTACTGTAGATTAAAATGTAGATAGCAGTGAACAGATAAGGAAGATTTCCACTATAAACAGGAGCGGATGGATCCTAAATTCAAAATAGAAGAATCCACAAACGCGATACCAAGGTCGTCCCAACTGCCTGTCAGCCGTGGTTCTTGTACGAAAGACAGAAATACCTAAAAATACTCGAGCTACTTACCAATAGCGAGTAGTATAAGATAAAAACGAAAATTACAGACAAGAAGATGACGTCTCACAATCAATTGGCCAAACATGGTTACACAGACTTACTTTTATCAAATTCCATTTACGTCGTGCAGATAATTGGCACAACTCTTCATAACTTTTCAGGGCAGTTTGTCTGTCAGGGGCCTCCTCGGCGGAAATTAGACAGTCTTTGTCCAAGCAATCACTGATGATAAAGAAAGGTGAAAAAATGAGACTGAAGTGGAAGCTAAAAGCTTTACAACGTACGTATATGAAAACTACTTATTAGTTGAGGAAACAAATTGGACCACAAAACTACATCATCCGAATAGTAACTGCAAACCACGAAGTTCTGTTGAACTGCTGTTTTCAAAGGAAAGACATTTTTCTACTTTGCTTTTCAAAAATTCACTCTGAATTCTTATATGAAACCACTTAAATATCGGTTATTAAAACGAAAATGATTATCCACAGTGTTTATTTAGGCGCTGGAAGCCTTCCTTCCTAGATAAATGAAGAATAGTTATTTCAGAATCTTAAGAAAACGAATGATGTGTCCCAAATATTAGACCTATAGGAACTAGCTTATTTGACAATGTTCTAAATAACTCAAATGCTAAATATTTGTTACAAAAAGGTGAAACACATTTTATCATGTGTTATACTCATTGATTTATTCTGAACACAGAAGACAGCTTAGTACAGTTAGGCTTAGAGGAATCCGTCAAATGAAACGAAATGATATACTGATAACAAGAACAAAAATATCACACTGAACAAAGTCAATGAGAAGTACAACTAAGATACATTAAATTCCGCACAGATTTGTATACTATCGTACCTAGTTCTTAGTAGACTTTTAAGTTTGTAAGTACTTACAAGAATATACCTTCAATGATCCTGTCTTGATTTGGTATAGGAACTTTCGTTCCAAACTACATTGTATGGACTGAACTAATTAAAAAACCCATTAATGTCAGTTGTTTATAATGCCAACAAGTGAAACTCGTTTCGTGACAGTCTGTTGATCTGGTAGTAGTTAAATGATAATAAGAAAAATAATGAAAAATTTTGAAGGATGAAATTCAAACAGGAATGCAGTTAAGATATGTTTTATTTATTTGGTACATCATCTTCTTACTTAGGAAAAACCTAACAAAAACTGGGAGAGGATCTTCATTGTCTTTTATTTTAAGCTATGTATGATAACATATTAAACAACTAGGTTATATATCTAGGACCCCATTAATGGAGTTACGACTAGCCAACCGTTGTTAACCCAACACAGTTACTGTCTGTTTCACAGCACCATATTCTAAACTGATCACCCTCACTCTTTCCAGTCAATTCCAGAAACGACTGGTGATGTGTGGTATAAAAGCCACAGTAACGATATGTGTAAAATGTGACCAAGTTACTGAATCCCTTTCTTCTAGATCATGATACTTTCTAGATCGCCAACGATTGCCTAAACACACGTTATCATCCCATTACAATCACGAAGCACACAACTGCCCAGATAAACAAACATCTGGGCTATTAGCGAAGATTCATCAATAAAAGCAAATGATAGAACAGAAGCCTCCTGCTCTAGCAGACATTCATCACACTTCGATGGTGAAAAGTCGTTATAATATATGGATCACCAAATGACTAGTTTCGATTTGGCCAGTGCATAAATTATTTCACTGTAAAGAGGTTTAATACACACACACACAAACACACACACAACGTCAACGGTCTTCCTCTTGACAACAGACTAACATTACTAAGATGCAGTTCTTGTAAAATCCTTTCCAGAATATCAGAATTAAACCATCAGGATCAAAATTGAAGGATACAAATGATTCTCATAACTTGATTCTAAAATATGGGACTTCACAGAGACACATAAAAGGAGTTGTACAGCTCTCACATTCTTCACTTACATAGCCACAAGAAATTAATAACGGAGATGCTGACTATTCTTAAAAATATCTTAGCAATGTAATGCCACAGCATATTCATCGGCACATTGTAACAATTATATTATCTCCTTTTGATTGCCAGAAGACCATCTCGACACAACAGCACACCAAAGCAGAGTTTATATATATTAACTAGCTTAAAGCAAAATGTCAGCCTGATACCAAGTTAAGTGTAAAAGCATACTGCTTGAGGATTACGCAAAATTGATTTATTAACCTTTGATGAAGCGATATGGATTGGCGATGCAAACCATCTCTAACTAATTGAACAAAGTCGGGAAGATGAAACTGGAAAGAATGCATCATGAAAATTAACTGACCTATTGTTAACAGAAACACCAGTACATCTCCTTTGGAAAGCGACATTAATCAGATCGATGGACTGGTCATCAGGAACAAATCTACAGGGGAATAACAACATGCAGAGTACACTTGTTTGCAGAAAATAACCTAATACGCTGAAACATGATAACCAAATAATTAGTCATAAAAAGTTTCAGATGCCCAAATAATTATCTACAATGACTAACAACAAGTTGCTAAATTCGATAGCACAAATTAATAAGCCCGTGGTACAGACAAAACACTTACGTGTTTGTGAAAGTTAGTCTGATTTCATCGAACGTAAGGCTTTGCAAAATGATCACTGAAATTAATTGACGAGTAAATGGTGTGTCTTTCCATTACCAAAGATTTGAGTTTACTCAATATCTGTATCAGTGCAGTAAAGAAATGAAAGAAGAGAACTAATAGTCTAAATAGGTAGCTATGGGTAGCCTGTACACGATTTACAGTTTAAATTCAGAAGGAGCATATCGGGAATATAACCACAAGCATTTTCAGAATTCGAAGTCTGTATCTTCAGTTAGTCAGTAATATACAACGTAGAGCTTAAGAAATGTGTATATAGGTTCAAGTTACCGTATCTTACTTCATAGTAAGATAAAGTGTATTTTCAACTGTTTGCGTTAGAATTAACACCACAGCATAGCCTGCTAGTATTAGTATATTTAATTAAGATTTCGTTACACTAATGATACGTTGAGAAGGCTACATTTCCAAAACAATCAAGAGTCCAAATACTAGTAAATTAAGATGATTTTAGGATGTTACGTTTTGTAAGAACTCAGCATCATTAAACAAGTAAATCAGTAGTAAAATTAAAAAATTGAGATAAAGATAATTCAGTGAAGGAAATTTCTTCCTGACATCATTTCCTGAAACTGTATGACTATATCTCTCATCACTTAACAAATTCTGATCACGTCCCACCAGAATTACATTTCAAAATTATTTACATAGTCAAGTGAATAAGCTCTAAGGGAGTACGAACTAGAAATGTGCCCAACCTAGAGGCTTTACAAAATCTCTGTCCAAAACAATCAAGTGTAATCTCTTATTTTACTACACCCCTAGCATCTATTCCATCTTTTTCTCTTGTTTTGTTTTACAAATTAGTTAGTTCTCATAGTTCTCGCAAATTTTTATAACCACTATTCAGCCGCTATTATCACCACGCACTTTATTTCTTTCTCACACTTGTCAAGTGAACAACCATCACACATATTTCTTCCTGACCCGTAATTTTTTTAAATTCTACTCTTGTACTTTGACCTTTGAACCATTTTTGTGGTAGGTCAAGTTTCGCACAAAATAAGATAATCTATTTTCCAATAGATTAATATATTTATTAGATCGCCAAAAATATTATCGTAAGACTTCAGTAGATGAGATCGTCAAAAGAAAAATTCCTTACGCTGGTTTGTCTTCATATCACTTTCATTAAAATGAAAAATTAACAACAAAACTTGGGATAATACTTATACAACCCAGTAATATCTTTATTAATCAGTGGCATCTCGTTTACTCTCAAAATTTATGAATCACAATGACTTTGCACACACAAATTATCTACAGATTTAATAACCAAGTATAAGTTTCTATAATTAGCTCTGGGTCACACTATTATATGAGGAATAGTGATACTATCCAGTTAACGAATCCGAATTCAGTAAAGCAGGGTTCAAGCCTTTAATTCGATAGTTGAAGAGATTGAATATAAGTTTGCTTAATATGTTTACAACCTAAAACCTTGTGAAATTCACTCAATGTCGACGGATTTGTGAGCGAAAATGTAAACAATATCCTGCTGCGCCAATTGAATTAGAAATGATTGAGTGGAGTAACACTAACAGTTTCAGGTTCTTATATGATGTAGCTGTTTAGTTATTTAATTTTTTACACTAATAGTTCTTAATTATTTCACTTTATGTAAACTATAAGGATTGTCGTGGCAACAAATACTAGCAATTTTTCAAATTTGAAAATGAATTCCCATTTAGGAAGAAAAAACATACCACATGAAAAAGTGATGTGTAACTGACAGACCTGTCAAGTAATGCTGCGATAACTGATGAGTCTAGACCGCCACTAAACAGTAAACCGAATAAAGAACCTGACCGATTATCGTCCAATACATCAGATACATTGAAAGAGTAATTTGTATCATATAGCAAGTCAAAGTTAACTGAATCGTGTATAACAGCAGATAATAAATCCAAAAACTTTTGTTGTACTTCTTTTAAAGTTGTGGGTATACACATATTTGTAGAAAGGCTATTACAATGAGTTTGATTTACATTCAAAACTCTATTAACTTTAAATGGGATATTTGAAGGGCACAGAAGTAAATGTTGTTCAGACCAAGGATATAGATTAATATCTGAGAGAAAAACATCCCCATTGTCACAGACGATTTTCGATACAAATATTCCACAAGCAGGTATTTCAAACCAATCCTTTGCATCTTTTTCCTAAATAAAAATTATTTCAACTGATTGAAAAGTATGAATTAGTTATCATTTATCGCAAAATAAAAAAATAACCACATGACAAAAAAGGGTAGAAAACAATCTGGTATCTGAATACACATAGATACTTAAATGCAGATCTCATCCATTGAAGGACAATGAAATAAAGCTGTTGACTAATATATGTAATTGCTGATCAACTAAATCAGAAGCAAGCCTATTTATCCAGCTTATGGCGATCCAAAAACAGAAGATCGTCTTGCGAAGTTCATAAAAAATGAATCCGGACTGATTAGGATGTGAGAACATCGATTCTACCTGCCAGTTTGTAACATTTCTAAGCTGGCTTCGTTTACAATTATGTCATCACTTTTTCCACACATTCATTTAAATGCTCTAAGGCAACTTAGGGAACTTTTAAACAAAAATATGTGAGGTTTTCTACTACGCTTTCAGTTAATAAGCTGGATGAACATTTGGAGATTTAGACTTAAAGTATCTATTATTTTAGGAAATTGAACGGAAAATAATAAACTCAAAAATGAATACAAACATTGAAGATACGATAATGGTGAAAACAGAACATTAAAGTAGCAAAGTCCACTGTTGAGCAGCTACATAAATAAATTAGCTTACAAGGGAATCCAAACTAATTTCCGGAAAAGAAGACTGGCTTGGAATAACAATACTTGAAACTGAATCGATACAAAATAATTCACTAGGTAGTCCTGAAAACTTTCTGGCAACAAGAGAATGACGACCGAATGGATCTCGAGTGAAATAAACCCTGTGTGATTCGACCTAAACGTTTTTAAGTGGTAAGTATTGACTATAACTTACGCTAACAAATATAAGTACAAAAGAACCAATCAAAGAATTGATTAAATTAACAACAGCATTTACGTTCTTTTCCTTAGAAAATGCATCTAGTAGAACCTGACCAATACTGATATTCTCAGAGTCAAAGTGTTTTGCAAGAGTTATATCGCTTGATGAGCGTATTTGGCCGGAGCAGAAAAGGATGTTGCATCCTGTATTAGATTGAATTAGAAATTGATGTGCATTTTTTGCAAATGGATCATTAAATGCAAAAAATGAACTAAATATTGAAATCCATCCCCTGGAAAGTCGTGCAGCTTTCCAATAGCTTGTTTCGATAGTGTGATAAAACGTTGAAGAAATATTAGTGTTTAAAACATCTTGAAGTTCGACTGCATTCAGATCTCTGACCTGTATAAATTTGACAGAGAAATGTAACGATAAGATATAGACATCAAATAAGTGTATTTGTAACCTGATTAAATGAGAAAAGGATACGTTCATGCGAAAAAAATTGGACTAATAACTTCCAAAGCTACTTGTGCCTTCAAACAACCTTTTGAAAATCATGGCCAAAAGATAAGTAGGCTCAAGCTATTTTACACAAGACTAGACTACTTACCGATTTATGTTCATCTATTGCTAACATATTTATTTATTTAAACACAAATGCAATCATAATAAGGGACCAAAAACACCTCACAAAATAAGGGTAATATTGAGGATGGCGGAGCCTCCTAATGCCCTGGTACGGCCAACAGTGGGGAGAGTTTGCTCTCCCTCTCGAAATGCCCTCACATGGTCACGTGCATACAACCACTGCCAGAGAAATCGTACTCACGAGAGTGTTGTATACGAAACTGAGAGGATGAAAAGCGAATGTCCGGCGCTTTGACCGGTTTGATGAATATGGAGGATCCACCTAAGGGAGTTAAAAAAACCTTGATTTCAAACCGAAATAAACATAGGCTACAGGATCCTGAGGGAACAAATGGAGTACGAACCAGTTGTTGGTCACCGGCTACCATGGGACTGCATCTGATGTTACTCCACTGCCTTGTGGATCATACCTTTAGGTCGAGGGTTCTGGGTGTGGCCCCCTAGTAAAACCACCTGTCTCGGTCTGGGCACCTAGGCAGTATTAAGGCCCACACACAAATTAAGTGGCTTGTGTGGCGCATATGTACCAATATTTGTGTTCACATAAATAAATAAAGCATGATGGTGACCTTCTGGATATTAAACTGGCTGAGTTGTTTGCAAAGGTTTAAGAATTAAAATGATCCGACACCCTGGAATGAGCCAATAGCTGTCTCTATCTTTAGAAAAGTTTGCGTCACCCATGTATTAACTATCGAGGGATAATTCTACTTCAGACTGCGTCCAAATTTATGGCTTCCGCCATACTTCGCTTAGGAAAGATTGACTCGCGAAGAGCACGTTGGTTCTCGTTCTGAACGTATATGTATTGATCATATTTTCACCCTCACCGAATATTAGGGCCTCACCATACTTATTCCACGCCAACAACCGTTGCGTTTCTTGACATCAGGACCGCCTTTATTCTGTTGGACAGAGATGTACCTCAGAATCGTCTATTCAAGAGGTGTCCCTGAGAAGTTTATTAATATCTCGAAAATCCTATATACAAATACTTCAGGGAGAGTGAGAGCATACATCTACCTCTCTCCATTGCTTTATTCAAGCAGCAGGGTTAAGTAGGACCGATTAAACGATTGTACTCTCTTAATAATGACCATTTTGAAGCAGGTGAGAAATGTGTGCATACGAGTAGGTAAGTGCCGGTGGTGACTTGGGTGATGAGATCAATTTACGTATACCGAATTCCAGAGATGTTTATGCCAATTTAGGTCATCTTTGGTGTGATCTAATGTTTTTCTGACAAGTTACTATAAGTCAACAGTCGCACCTTGACGTTGTAGAACAGTCAAGACACTCAATGGAGCTTAATGAGTAGTTTTAACTACACAGTCTGATAACGAATTAGATAGGTATTTAGAAGTCAAAATGTTTGAAGGTAGTTGAGTGAGATCGGATTACTGAGACAAGCTGCAGAAACGTAACTAAAAAACTTTTCGAGTGTAATATGATTTTAGTGAGCCTTAGTAGGATGGCTAACATAGGAAGAACGCGAGAGAAAATAGAATAATGACAAATAAATGTCTGTATGAGCATTAGAAGGAGCCAGAACTCCTCCCAATGAAAAGCAAGATCGGAATCAAATCTGTTTTTGGCTAAGTAATCCTTAAGCAATTGCTCAAACGTATATAAACCAAATACAAATAGAAACCTGAGAAATAAATGCAATTTGTATACTACGCGAAATTAATATCAAACTATATACTTCTCTTCAGCGTTAACATTAAATTTACCTTCCCCAAATATTAACCCATTAAATAGCCAGCTTTTCGCAAAACTTAATGGACTAGTTCACTACCACCCATATACTTAGGAAATTCGACTTAAGTACCTCAGAGCAACCTTATTATTGGAGCACTCGACAAGTCAAAATAGTGGTTTATTTAAGGAAAATTTATCAACATTTTTCGCATGAACAGTTTTCAACAACAGTTACATATGAGTGACAGCTAAACAACATTGTTAACTTTCCCCGAAAAATTTACACTGAAAGCATTAATGAATATTCGTAATTTTACTAGATGAAAATGCTACTAATTACTAATTCCTCCTCACATATAAATGGAGTAAACTTTTCAAAATATTTCGATCCACTTGCTAACTTTTAAATACCTCAGAATTTTCTGAACAGTGGGAAACGAAAAGACCGAAACTCAGCATGAGCCAAATTTCTAAATATTGCTTCTCAGTGACCTGAAGGTCATAGCAAAATTATTCATCTCTGACGTAACTAAATACTATTTTAAACTTTCGACTTTTTTATCAGTGACCAACAAGAAACTTCCTGAACCATCTTTTCAGGTTTCTGAAAATTCGCAACTTTTCTATCTCCATTGGAGATCTTGTATGATTTTCTTAAGGGATTAGCTAGAGTAATAGTAGATTGTATCTTCAGTGTCTTCGTCACGGGCTAGCATAAACCGATTGAGTTCTTGGCTCTTGCTTCTCGTCGTTTCGGTACGGCTCCAGATATTTGATGAGGTTTAAATAGGTGGCGGTTTTGTTACTCGATTGCACTAATTCTAGTCAGTTCGATAGTTATTTGTGTATCTGAATATCTCGTAGTGTGGTCGAGTACGATTGTCTCAGAATAGTGAAGTTTCTGAGTACCAATAGTCATCACGTCACCAGGTTAGAGGTTGCTTGACTACAATGTGAAAGTAATAAAGTGATTATTTCAGTTCTAAGAGAAGACTGTTTCAAGAATGATAAATAAGTCTATTAGTTGCTAATAGGTAAAAGAATTGGAAGACACAGTAAATGGTTACTGATATAAGCATATGATAACCGCACTAATTTGTGAAACCTACATCAGGTAAAAGTGGTTCAATATGGTGATGGTAATTTAAGGGTAAGTAAGTGTTTGTCAAGTCTCCTCTTGAAGCTGCCCACTAATGGGGTTGTGGTCACTTCAGCTGAGAAGGCATTTAAAAGGACGGTAACTTTAAGTGGAAACAATCGAGGTCGTAATTGAGTATTTTCTTTTTGATATTCAATTTTTCGGGGGTTGCATTGAGGAAAGTGATGTTGGTGTTCTGATAATATGCTCGTGGGGATTTTCCATCTCTGCCTCATGTCTTGGCGCCACCCACATGTTCAGTCATTCCTGAACTTTTAATGGCTGTGGTAAGCTGCTTATGAGACCACCCTGTAGAGGTGTATCCTGTTTTCTAAGTTTCGGGTATGGAAATATTTGGTTAGTATTATTTGGTCAGATATCAGGTGTGACAGCTCTAATATACCCAGTATTGTCTCATCTTTTGCGGTGTTAGAACCTTTGGGAGTCAGTATATTCCTCCAAACATGTAATCCGTCCTGCTCTCATTGAGGCAGCAAGGTTCTGTCACCTCAGCTAATTCGGTACTGTGTTTTGTTAAAACTTAATGTGTCTGTTAATGTATTTCTCCTTTCCACTTCGTGTCTGATATGACGAAAGCCACATTTCAGCTAAGAATTTGATAGTCATATTGTTATGACCTTGAATCGCTTTTACCCCGTCGATACTTTGTTATGACTTGAGCTTGATCTGTCTAGTCTAGATTATGACCTTGGCGCGATAGGCTGAGCGGGTTAACCTTGAGTCTAGTATGCGTGAGTTCGAGATGGGGTAGGGAGAGAACTATTCTCGAACCTGATTAGTTGGCAAGCACGCAAGTGAGAGAAGACAAGACAGTTAGAACACTGAATTCTGAATTCTCTGAATTCGGATTAGTGAAAAAATGTACATGAATAAATAAGTGAATATCCTGACCACAACGTACGATAATTTGGAAAAATACAATTATGCCCGAAACTGGGAATTAGGGTAGAAAATAAGATGCAAAATATTATGTTTAAATTACAATATTTTCGGAACAAAAAAGGTATGGCAGTGAATGTTACATAGAACGAAAGCTCATGTTATGTAGAATAAAATAGGGACAAAAATAAATATAAGTTTTTTACAAGGTTTGAATGAAATGAAATAACGTCCCAAGAAAATAGCTTTCGTAGTTGTCTGGGCTTGTTATTTCCCCGTTCACAACATATATCTGACTGAAAGCATACAATTCGGATTGATCCTAATTTACTCCTTAGTCTTCTTACGTTGCTATAAGGTCACTTGATAACTTATCTCATCATATGATGCTCCACTACTGCAGCGTCTGTCTTCTGGGTCTTAAGCAGATTGTTATTTAAAGTGTGTGAGATTTTTGTCTGTATATCGCGTTTCATTAGAGAGACAGTGGTCTTTGCGTTCCGTACCGTGAGTTGCTGAATAAAATCTACTGACCCAAAGATATGCTTCATGGGGCTATTCTGCTGTTGCATTGCCAACCAAGGTCGGCCTCCGCGACATCTGATGCGATTGGAGGGGTCTTATCAGGAATATGCTAGGCCTGAATGACCTTCGTTATGTTCTCTCGACTTCTGAAGTTTACAGCCTTCGGACGCGAAGATTTAATGATCATGGAGTACGACGGACGAGGTTGCCCGGACGCACTAATCGTCGTAATGGTGCGAAGACCTACGCCACGTGATAGCCGACGTCTGAACTGTATACCGCGTTAGTGAGATCCGGTTCGAATATAATTTATCAGCTCAAGCACTCCGTGAATTACTTTGTTGGTTAGTTATTGGTTATCTGGTGAATTTACAGCTGTTTTTGTATCCAACTTGGATCTGAGAGGGTTCTTCACACAGTGGTCTCTGAGATAACCTCTGTAGCGTGTGCTGAATCCAAAGTTGCCCCCAGTTAAGAGAGCTTGTCTTTTGCTACGTTTTGGCCCTTATACAAGCGGCAAAGCCTGACTAAAGTAAAGTCCTTCCCCAACATTGTATGTCAGCCATTTACAATGGCTGACAAACTTTCTAATAAACTGCTCTCCGACATCGGAACACTAGATAAAGTGAGGGAGGTTCCTCGTCTTCAATTTTTAGAGTTTTGAGAGCTTTGTTTTCCTCACTTCCCTTCTCACTGCCCACTTTCTGCTCCTCATTGTAAACATATTTAAAGGTATTAGCAACATACGATAATTTCATTGGTCTATGAGTTGTTGCGCCCACAGTCGTGTGTTTATTCGAGCCTGTGTTCGACGATCTCGATACACCTTTGGGGGTTGATACGCTTGCTTCCAGTGGAGTCTAGGGTTTCTCCTTCTGTAGATTCGTTAGTGTATTTTTTCTAGACCGTCAGATAACGTGCCAGAACCACGAACGGGTGTGGCTTACCATAACCATGGTGCTGCTTGAATACTAAGGCATCATGGCGGAAGAAAACCCGGCTACCGCAGAACTTGTGATCGAATTCTGTAACGCTAACTAACATGCTGTACAATGGTCGTTTTTGTGTTGTTTCTACCCAGTAATCAGGACAAACTGCAAGTTAGTACGCCATTTTCTCCTTTTGTGTTAATTAGTCTTATCAGAAAAAGAAGACCTGAGAAAGAGTGTGGTTCAAATTATTTGGTTTGAGATTCAGCTTTGGTGTCTGAGTTAAGTGATCCATCTGATACATATTACTATGAAGTTATTTAACTGGTGTCATTTTGAGCTTTCTTAGAAACCTATTGCTAGAAACGGAAATTTTTGAACTACTATTAACCACTGAATTTAGACCTTCACCTCTTCTAATCGTCCTTGTAGTTATAATGTATGTACTGGTGGATACGCTATTGCTGTGGATGCTACATAATAGAACGGAAAATGGAATGTGGATCAAAGTTTTGAAGGGTCAAAATTATTGAGATAACTGATTATATACCATATGAGAACAAACCCTGAGAGTAACATATCCACAAGTGTCTACTGTCTTTCTATCTATCCAGTATCAGCATGCTTCTCGTGGCTGGCGAATTCTCATGTTATGTGCACTATCTGACAAGCAGAATACATAACTATCACTATCCTTAATTCGAATAAAACAGAGAACAAATGGCAATATGTTGAAAACTAAGTAGACATAGTTTTCCTTTCATAGTCACACAGTTCTAGATTGTTGATAACTTGTTTGAAACTGCAGATTTAATCAGGATTCGGTTCGTTCAAGTAGTCATATTGAAACTACTGATCTTGTTCAGCTCTAACAAAATCCATTCACTTGACTACCTTAAACATGCCTTAGATGCACTGCACTGAAGTCTAAACAGAACATCACAACTGTTCATTAATTGAACTGCCTTTATGATATTTATTTAGAGTCGGCTGTCAAACGATGTCCTTGAGTATATTGTTGCATCATGCCCAATGGTTCTCTACCTCATAGCAACCAATGATACACTTCATACCGGTGATCTTTTTACTGACAAACTCCTTTGTCTCTGATTCTTGGTTTCGCTGGGTTTGAAGTTATTCGATTATGAAAATATGGAAAATATCTAAACGTCCTCAAAAATTCTTCACGAACCCAACCATAGTTTTCGTATATGTTTTTATTCATACATCCAACTGTTACGCTAATAATACCTAAAAACGAACGTTCAGTGCAACTGTCAGTATACGTAAGAACGATATTATTTAGACTTGGCAATGTAACACATCCGAACTATTGTAGTTATTCTACTTCGGCGTCGTAATTTATTTTATGAAGTATTGTTTCCTCGTGGCTGTTATCTAACAGAGGATTTCGGTACATCAATCGGCTGTTCAACTACTCGACGATTTAAAACTTGTCCACTTCAGTTAGTGGTCTGACGACAATATTATTCGCGCGAATAATCAGTTTATGCAGTCGAGCAAATCTCCTGCAAACTGAAAACGATATTGTCGCCTCTATCCCAACACTGACAGCGTTTTTCACGGGTATCATTGACATGAGTCCAGAGTGACACTCTTGGTTTCTTATGTTCTTTTCGATATTTTTCTGTTCACTTACCGAACAAACATGCAGCACTCACCGTTAATCATCTTTTAGAGACTGCATCGTGCCACGTTTGTTGTCGATTTGTAGCCTTCAAACCTTACTGACTGTAACAGCAGTCATCGACTTTTCAAACTCTGACTACAAGTTGGTCAATAGATTCTCACAACGAAATCACTACCACTCTTCACGGTTATACTTCTGTACTTATGGTTAGTCTGTTAGATATAGATATAACTAGAATTCGACACTAATTAATAGCTGTCAACGACACTGTCCGACTTACAAATTTAAATTAATGACAGTACAAACATGGACATCGATTGATAATACATTTATCCTACTATCGCTTTAGCATCAT